TTACTGTGTTTGAAATAAAGTAGACAACGGAAATTATTCCGAATCCAAAGGAAACTTATGTATAACTTTTCGGCTGGCCACAGCAGCGACAACTATAATAGACTTAGAGCGCGAGAGAACCTAGCTAGAGAGTATCCTGCTATCTACAACCTCCTTCTGAAGGTTGGCACATCTGTAATAAAACTTTCGTAGTTTGATCGCGAGCGAAGCCTCGGGTTCTGCTAGTCGGAAGTAAAGTCTTTTAAACCTAAAGAAGTATGCCATTAAGTACATAGAGTATTAGTTACTTGAATTATACTGCTACGCTAATGAAAAATAAGTTCCCATCATGTATTTATTTTTGTAATACTGGCGGATTACATATAAACATATCTTTTAAACCTTGTTAGGTTTTCCAAGACTTGCAACTTTTCTTTTACCGTTAAGACAAGTAGTAATCATGTTGGAAATGATTCGTACATGAAAATATCATAGGTGCGATACCTGAGATTTGAACCCGCTTTATTCGCTTTCCCAAGCGAGCGCTTTTCCACTGGGCTACCACTGGTATTATAATAATTATAGTTATATGGTAAAATAATTAAACACATAGACTTTTTAAAGTTTATTTAATAAAAATCTTTTTTGACTTGAACACGATCACTAAATTACAGGCAGTAAAAGAAATTATAACATTGATTATAATTACGAATCAGTCGAGTAGTTCACAATAAACATAAATATATCATAAATCATATCTCGCTGACTTCCGGAACTATGATATAAATATTTACACGTAATTACTTTATTCGTAACGAGACGAACTGACGTACATAGGTCCTGTTAAAATAATTATGTTTATTTAAATGTTATTATATTATGTAGTTTTGTTATTCATTTGTATCACACTGTAATGAAATGCATGTTTGAAATAGTTTATCACTATAATATATCCTTCCTGACTCTAAAACTAAGTTAATACTAATAATTTTATCGATACAAAATAGTTTTACGAAGCCATAATAATAATTTAGCAAAATCAAAATAAGGTATGTATTTTTATGTTACGAAAAACCACAACGGTTTATCGTATACGTAGAAAATATATCAATTAACTTTGGGGCAAAAGTAAATAACTTCTGAATTGCTCATCTCGAGCCAAGAAGGATTTATTCTTATTCAACCTTTATGTAAATATTATGATGCTCTCGAGCTTGATATTATTTCTAAAAAGTAAAAGCCTTTTGATGTTTCATTACATGACAAAGACAAGTTTACTTATTGAATATATGGCCTTTAATTAGGCAAAATACTTTTTCTTTATAAAGATGATAATAAAAATATTAAAAAGAATATTTGAAATTCATTCCCAAAGGTAACAATTATTTTCTTTTTCACGTATTTATCATAAATGTGAGAAAAAGAAATTGCCCCTTGAAATAGAAATGAATGAAACGTTTAGATATTATTTAAGATGAAATTAGTTTATTTTATAAAATGTATAACACATATGTACTTAGAATTTATTTTAACATTGCTCTAACATGATGTAAAAAATAATGATTTATAAAAATTGCAATGTCTAAGAAACTATGAATAAATTATTGATATTATATTAAAATACAAATAGATATCTGCAATAAAGTGGGCAAAACTGTGGGTCTTTATAATAAGTAGATAAGTGTCAAAATTGTAATCAACATTTACAAACATAATATGTAAAACAAAATATATGTTGTTATATATAAAGCTTATATAAGGATATTAATTTAATAGATTTACTGTTTCAAATATCAATTTAGATAATTTTTCGTAATATTTTCTTGTAAATACATTCACATAAATCTCCACTAAAAGGCCGGCAGTTAAGGGGCAGATTTTTAGTACACATCTGTAACCTATATTACCATATTGCTTCTCTAGACGTAAGGATGTTAACTTATTTAGTCATAATGACTGATGGCAGAGATCATTAAAGTGTATTGTTTAATAATGAATGCTATGATATCGATAATGAAATCAAATCTTACGAAAATCCTGACAACATTTTTACAGAAAGTGTTAAAGTTCATCCCAACGCCCTCAGAAGCTGTTATAAATAGTAACTAACACAATTGCGACATTTCGTATTCAATGATTTATATACAAATATGATGTAAAATGAGTGCACCACGTTTTTTATTTACAAAATTTACATTTATCCTAACAACTATCAACAATTACATGAAAGTAACGGCAATATCTTAAAAAAAACCATTTACAAAAAAAATATTGTATAAATAAACTGTTGGACCTTGATTTACAATTTATTATTTACATTGGATTTATTGAAAATATATATTCTAAGCTGTGAAAAAACTAAGTAATGTTCTTTATCTGACACTAACAATTGGTACTATAAAGCTTGGACATATAAAAAAGCCATTTTAGCTATGATCATATATAAAATCGGATTCAATCATGTCAGCCTTTTCGTACCTAAAATCTACTAAAAATTGATAATTAACAACAACATAGTCATTATGTTTCTATGAAACTGGTGTCTTAACAATACAAAATATCGATTAGGCTCTTCTATCACTTCAACGTATACGCCTTTTTCTAAACTTTATGAACTCATTTATATTTACATCATAATCATTTTACAGTATAATAAATTTAAGTCATGTCAAGCTTATACAGAGGGTCTCATAGACACACTGAGAAAACGACACTTATCTAGTAAATTTTATTAAGTCGAAGTGGAATGTTGGAAATTATATAAGTTCACATTTAAGTCCTTTTTAGGACATGTACGTAAATGCAAAAGAACCTTCCCAATTCTTGATATGATTGCCCTAATTAACGATCAACGTTGTTAGTTGTGAAAACAGTTGTAATACAATAATTATTTTAATCAAATGAATTTTAAATGGACTTTGGATTAGGAGCCTTTATTTGATTCAAGTTTATTTGAAAGGTATTTAAAAAGTACATTCGTAAGTTACATTATTTATAAAACAAGACATTTTAAATAGGGTATTTAAAAAAATAAATATAAAACAAAAATACGTATAATTAACTAAGAATCGCTTACTAATTTGTTAAATATATAATAATATATTAGAGGCTCCAATTTTTTTTAAAGTAGATGAATTTTATAGTTAACTAATAGGTGAATGGATCTAATTTTTTTAACAAAATTAAGGCTTCCTGACCCCTAAAGTTCTTATATAAATCCTAATTAATTACATGGTAAAAAATGCATAATGTTTATAGCACGGACTGAAGTGATTTCGCATGCCGTACATTTGATATAATGTAATATTATGTATGTGTAATAGTATATATTGAAGAGAAATCAAAACATAAATATTTATATAACATAATAAATATAATTGCTATTTGGCTTTTACGTTATAAAATTAATATATGCATAAATCAAAGTACATCGGTATAAGAAGAATCAACGTACTGTGATGACCCCTCAACGATTTATAAATGACTTCGTGACAACTGCTATCGAAGGTAATAGAACCTCCACTCCGCTAATGTATACTTGCCATGTAACGCTTGCATGTTATAAGTAGTTCACTTTTATTGGCCTTTAGTACTTAGAGGTTTTTTGGAGGAGTTGAAGTCGGGAATTGCGAGGGGGTGCAACCCCTCAGCTCTTTGCTAAGGAATCCAACGGCACCACAAGTTTTCCATTGGAGTAGCTGTAACAAAGAAAATACCTAACTTTAGTTATAAGTATGCAAACGTGGAATTTTACTAAAATGCTCCTCGTTTGTTTTGCGTGGTGGCAATTAAAAAGCCGCGAAATCTAGATTGTTGCGACATTAAGAAAATTGTGTGGTGTATATTTTTATTGCTTTTATTTATTATTTGTTTTTGTTAGTGAATTTCCTTTTTTATCTTACTATTTGATATGATATTTACTAATCGTTATATAACGCTGAAGAGTTTGTTTATTTGATTAAATATTAAACCCTTAATATCTCACGGTGGAGAAAAGGAATGCTGACATAAATAAACTACGCAGGCGTCGTCGCGGACAAATGCTAGTTTTATATTATATTAAATCACGTATGTTATTTTGTATAAAATAAGTAATTAAATTTAATTTGTCAATACAAGTTCTGTGACGGAATATTTTTATATTTGTCTTTCTTTCTCTCATCTATACTGTCATAGATCCCCTAACAACCCCATGTGATATTGCCACCTGCAAACTTCAAAGGCAGGGATACATAAACAAAGGAGGAACATATGTAAGTAGAGACCTTTTAAAAAAAACGGTTTTATCTCGTAACTTTTTTTGCAAAACTTTTACAGCATTCCTGCATATTTTTTTATTCACTATATTTTATTTAACAATAAACTATTTTGATTGTGACTATACTTGAAAACTAACAGAAGTATTGAGTAGCATTAGCAAGTTTTAACCTGTATGGTATAGTAGCCGTTCTGGATTTAGCTCTGCTTGGCCTACAGGCTTCATCTGTAACCAAGATATGAAATTTAAAATTCATTTTAATTAAACTTTTTAAAATATACCTAAACTTAATACAAAGTTCCGATGATAGGTTAAAGCTTAATAGAGCGGAAGCGCATACTATTGTCTCGGTTCTTGCGGAACAATACTTATCTTAACTCGAACTTGGCAAAAGTAATATCTGCGATACCTTAATGAGAGAACTTTGTATCGACTTTGTTAATCGTTTCTGACCCAGCCGCATCGCCTGTTACTGACTCTCTTAGAATTTGAGATATATTTCATAAATAATAAAACAAGAAAGTTTAAAAGCTAAACATTTAAGCAAGTGCTATAATTTGAGATGGTGAGAATGAAATAAACAAAAACAATAAACAAAAAATCGTGGATAAGGGAAACGCATAAATGGACGCGCTATTGTTGATATAAAAAAAAACTAATAAAACATAATAAAATCAATATCCTATCCAAATAAAGTTATAATTTATATGATTCTAATAACGGATGAGTTTGTGTGCTATTGGCCCTTACCATAAAGCGGTTAACATCGTTGTGAGAGGCACGCATCGCATTTGACGGGCTCCGTACGCCGCTTGGCCTGAGAGCCCTGCGAGCCGGACTTACGCCGGAAAGTGTACCTAACGAGTAGACCTGCAATGAAATGCCGCACCGTTAAAAACAAAAACAAACAAGCGCGTCCATCTGAACCGAACCGCGGACAGAGAAGAACGGACTAATTCATGTGTCATCGTATTAGATTTTGATTTGTGTACTAGTAAGCCAATTATATTACTGAACGTTTTTGAGCTAAATTCAGAATGTATCTTTAAAATAACCGCGATTAGAATTTAAATAATACTACTTAGTTAAAACAAACAAAAATAACCAAAAATAATAATAATGAAATGGAATGTAAAAATGGTGGAAGACAGAAATTAAGCAGAATCTTGTACATAGAAACACAATGAGGTGTATATTTTTTAAAGCAACTCACTTGTTAATCCAGCTTTATTAATACTATTGGAACTAGAAAATCCGGAAATTTTTTTCCAAGTTTTTTTATTCCAAAATCCACCAGCTTTCGCGTCACCACAGCTAGAGCTTCTCGGGGATGTCCCATCTTTAGGACAGCGTAAATTACAATCATCAGCACCTAATATACGAACTCCTGCTCCACGTGTTCCATATGCTACTGCTGGTAAATGAGGTACTGATCCTGTGGGTTTTCTTCGTAAGCTGCCCACATAACTTGCTCCACTACTACTACCACTAAACCCACTGTCCAGATCTGGAGGATTGCAGCTAGCAGGTGATAATAACTCATCAGTTGGACCAACCCTTAACAATTCTTCGATATTGTCTCTATCTTCTGCCCTCTCTGAATCAGGTGATTCACATTCAGGCATTAGCATAGCTTCTACACTAAGATTCAGTTCTCCCAAAATTCTTTTATGTCTTGATTCTACCCTGCGCACTTCTTCTTCAACAACGCTTCTATCAAGTGAAACCAAAGATTGTCGTGGACCATATCGGTGTTTGGGACAAGTTCTCGAGCCGTCCGTTATTTCTTCATAAATATTTTCTTCAGTGCCATATCTCGTTACGAAATTGTGTCGAGCTGATCGATCACGGGTAGTGAGGATACCTCTACCTCGCTGTCGATTAGCTTTTCTTGACGATGATGGCATAGATAAATTATGATCGTAATACGCATATGAGTAATCGACAGGTTCAAATCGCTCCATTGTAGCGGCGATATTACTTCGATTCCAAGACTGTGGTGGTGAATTCCTCGATAAATTTACTGCTGCGAGACGTGCAGGTAATATTTCATCAAGATCACGAGCACAGCGTTCATCAAGTGATTGCGCGCCATCTCCATCTTCTCGTCTATGTTTTCTATGGGGGCGTCGTGACGTTTGTGAACGAGGATGTCCCCGATCACAATCGGAATCATCTTGATTATAATCTGGCGTATGGCTACGATTTAATTCGGATCGGTGTTTGCTACAATCGATTGTGTGGTGGAAATTGTGTCTGAGACTGTAACTGGAATTTCCCTCATAGTCAGACCGGTCGTAGCACGGGCTGTCGTCGGCATTGCTCGAGTGCGGATGGGGACAATCGGCAGCGATGCCGGATTCGGATGAAGGATAATCGTGAACCTCGGCTGTCGTGAGGACCCGATCGTCGGGTCGCGCTGGCTCTGAGGCGGCATGACGATGATGAGGTCGAGGTCGACCTGTTTCGCGGCAACTCGCAAATGCTCTCTGAAGTGAAGGTTGATGTTGATATCGTCCACAACGTGAGTTGAACACCGCCTCCCCAGATTCGTCGGGGCTCGGCGGCGCACTGCGTGATTCCATGGCTCATCGTCTAGTCGCCATATAGTACCTGTAACATAAAATTATCATTAAAATTGGAAACCAAAACTGTAAGTTGTTTAAAATGTAACATAACAGAAAAAGGGCAATGAATTCAAAATTACACGCTCTGTGACATGGGTAGGGTAAGTGGCGATTTAAACACAATTACATCGATATATCATCATCAGTCTCTGCGTTATAAATGTGGGTTGCAGACGATATATATTATTATTGTTTTCATAAGCGTAAAGACCGTACCTATTTTAAATATCTTATGATTTAATAATGTTTTATACTGTGATAAAAAATATAAATTTATATTAAAGGTATATATATATATATATATATATGTAAATATAATTAAATTTTTATTTTAAGTGATTTATTCTATTAGTTCATAAGCACATATTATGGGCAAAAACGCATTTGGTTAAATTTTGATAATAATTATTGTAGTATATCAACAATAAACATTTTTTTTTACAATCACGCATAAATGAAATGCGTATTCAAAAGAGGCAAAAAGTAATAAATCCATTTTTATCATAACGAAATTCCACATCTGAATTTTATTGCGATTTTACTAGAAGTTATTGCACGCATTCCAGACCAATTTATTACGATAACAATAATAAGTGTCCGTGAACTAGACAGTGTCGGGGGGTTTGGGGACTCCCTATACCGTCGCCATGGTAACGGGGCAGTTCCCGCGATATCAGATCGCTTCCGTCCGATATTCCTTGCATCTAAATCATCATCAACGCTGGGAAGCGCTTCGTAAAGGGCCAATGGTGACCGTCCGGACAATAATTTGTTATGCTATTGCATCGCCCCAAGATAGCCCGAAATAGCGTATTAAGTCGTCCTTTCAACACAATTCTTATACTTTATACGTTTGGGGAAATCGTTAATAGCGTTGGCTTAATACCTCAGTTTGTTTTTCATCCTGGCGGCTCAGACCGCAGCCAATTCCATTAATTTTTCCTTATTGACTTTTTGTCTGTCGCGGGAAGACGGTTCAGCTTTATTTGTATTCTTTAAAATGTTACAGTGTTTATTTTATCTTAAGAGCAGTGGAGTTTTTAATTTTAATTCTGTTTTAATAAATTGTTTTATGTTTCCATCCATATTATTTGTATTTAAAAAGATTAATAAATTATAATATATATACATATACAACATTGAACATACATATATATGTCTTACATCACTATAAAAACATAACAAAAATATTGCTAAAATTATGTTCTTGTTTTCAAAATGCTTCCAGCTTAGCGGGAATAATGTGTAAATGGAATGATTACTTAAATTTATGGTATACATTATTCGAATCGTGATATCAGCACATTTGATCCCCTCAGCGCCCCTCGCCTTACGTGTTAGGCGTTAGGGTAAAAAATCATGCAACATTGCCTTTGGTGGCATAATTGCAATCAATTCCGTGTTATTTAACATTTTACGAATTTTTAAGGTTTTCTTTAAAATTTTCGACTGTTAGTAACTTATGTTAAGTCATTAATCAAGAATATTGTACTTATTATTTATATATAGACAATTTTTAGATTTAAATGTATATTTTAAATTTAAAAAATGTTCGAGGTATCAAAAAAGAATCGTTAGACAGTTGTTATTTTAATTTGAAGAGATTTTTAGGGTTTCGTAGTCAACAAGGAAACTTCATGCATAGTAGATAGTTCTATGTATTTAAAATGTCCAATATTCGGGTAATTCTAATAAAGCATTATATAGATTTAAAATAAATATCATAAAAAGCAAACGCAATATATCAAATTAATTACAGTATAACATAATTAGTTTGTAATTTGTTGCTCATGTAATAACTCCGAGCGTTGCCTCTAATTTCTTGTTATTATAATAATATTACCATCCATCATGGCGATAAGATAAGTGTTTTTTCTATGCACCCTTCGTTTGTGTTTTTAGACACGATAGTATTTGTGTGGTACACATGTGCGCTACATACTTCTATGGAATTTAATATATTCGAGAATGCGAGGTAGCGCATAATTTTATTAGTGAAAGCTATGATTTTTATGGAGGCATATAAAACTTTATGAAATACTTATGTTTTATAACATTTAAAAACGTTTGATAGAATATCGACTCTATGAAAAATACATATAAGTAAATATAGTTTTAATAGTAAGGAAAAACATTAAATATCTATACATATAATAAAATCTAAGTAAGTCGAATCTGTATAATTAAACTTTTTTTGGAAAATTTTATTCGAATAGTCTAGTTTTTTAAATATTTGTCTGTCTGTCTGGGAACGATCACGAGAAACCCACTGGACAAATTTTGATGAAATTTGGTATGGTGATAGCTGGTTACCTTTTTTTTTTATCGTCGGGAAATGCATTTACGCATACCACCTGATCCCCCAGGTGGTGATGTGGGGCTTACCGGCTAGAAGAGCCGGTACTACCCACTAAAACCCGACATCCCTTCCCCCCGCCTTAGTGGGACGCCGCAGGATCGCTTGCGCATAACTACTACGGCGCCCCGGCGGCAGGTCTGCCTAAATACTAGGCAGACCACCAAACCAATGGGGCTGCTCCACAGTCAACTCTGCTACGTCAGAGAGGTACCCGAAGCAGCCCCATAAAACCAAAACACCGCCCACCGAAGTGGGCCACCTCCAATCGGCTGCAGAGGACAGGGAGAGCGGCAACGAAACACCTACACTCCTATTCCCCTGCAGCCCCACCGCGTCCGCCATCAAACGGTGGCGGCCCCGTCTAGGCCGCGGAAGGTAGGGAGAACGTCGCACCGAAATACCGGCACTCCTCTCCCGCCGCGGCCTACCCCTCCGCCGAATGCGGGCCTGCGACCACAGTCCCGCAACCGGCACCCATCATCCGGTTGTGGGACCAAGCGGTCCCACCGCCGGTGGCCGCAACGTCTTCGGCTCGAGGCCTAGACGAGCGGCCCCATCCAAGCCATTTGGTCCGCGCCGGATTTCTCCGGTACCACCCGCCCCTCTAAGCGGGTGGCATGCCCCTATCCGCCACCTGGGGACGCGCCCGGTAGGAGTTGGCTTCTCCCCCGGGGATAGCTGGTTACCTGGGTCAACATATAGGATACTTTTTACTGCGGGAAAATATCTCATCCCTGTGAAATCTATACTAACCGTTAAAACGTTCCTAGGGACGAACCCGAGCGGAGCGAGGGTAAGCCACTAGTATTATATAATTTCTTTTTAACTACAGATGATGTCAGTTATTTAAACCCTCGTAAACCAGTAGGTAATAGTTTAAGGAATTATATGTGGTTCAGTAACGCGTCAATAAACTGTTATTGACAAATGTACGAAGAAACAGTTAATTTAGTACTAAAATGCTATTTAGGGCTGCGCAGCAGAAACCCATTAAGTGTTCTTTGTGGATATACCACGGTTTACTGCTGGGTGAATTGTTAATAAAATGCGCGAAAATAACACACCGCCGTACCATAAATACTTGTATTGCAAACAATTAGGCTATTCTTGGAACAAATACTAAACAGACACCAATTAAATGAATTTAATACTTTTTTAGATTTACGCAAATATTTCACATTGAATAAAACTATCTTTTTGGATTTTTCTCGGATTTATTTTAATTTTTATTTCCAACGTTTCGAATTCTTTACAGCAATCATTGTTACGGGAGGGACTGAATATAATATTTATTAGCAGATTTATATTAACTGTATTGTCGTTAGAAACAAAGAAACTTAGAAACAAAGTGTAGTACTTTCATTTTCGATTACAATAGTACAAAATATATTTTTTTTTATATTTGGCTTACATACTTACATAGTTGTTTGAAAATATTATTATCTGTTAAGTAACTTTATAGAACAGCTGCTCTACTTCTCAATTTCATATAACCACGTAAAGTACAAGTTAAACGATTGTGGGTTAAATAAAAATACAGCAGACAGCATGTACCCCATTATGATTCAGAAACTGATGAAACTGACAAGTAAAGCCTCCTTATATCTAGAACACACAAATATATAGGAAGGGTAAAATGGACTACTAAGATTACTTTCGTAATCACAAGTGCTGTAATCAGAATCAAAAAATATTCTATTGACACTATATATCTAGGTGTTAATTTCTAGAACTGACTCTATATTTTTTTGTTGCTTTATAAAGTAAAAGCTAAATTGAGGAAGCTATCTTAAGTCATGCTTGAACGATGACTTTAGGAGCGAACTAAATAAAGTACGCGAGCGGAACCGCAGTTTATGCTAGTATAATATAAGGCAAGTCAATATATGTTATTAAATCTAGTTTCGTTTTTTAGCCATAGTTGCAATGAGATATAGAATAAGTTAAATATACTATAGATCACAACGGACTTTAAAAGCTTCACTACAATTTTCAGGAATCAAAATTTATAAATAAAATACTGAGATGTTTTAAAAACTAAAAATTTACAAAAATGCATCAAATCAGTACAGGCCTTGACTGACTTAGTAAAATTATTGCATATTTAAGATAAAATTCAGACATATTTCGTGTGAAACCGAAGGAAAGTTCAGAGTAACCCCTATATACCTATAAATAGATTGCCATTTTATCCAATAAGAAATAGCATGAGCTTTACACAGGAAAAGAATTAGCCACTTTACATAAACTCCTACAAGCAAGTCTGATTTATTTTATATTGCGCAACGGCAATCGTCATAGTTGCCGAACAATTAATATTAATTGTTTTAAGAAAATTAAAAAAAAAACAATTTCGCTAAAGCTCCTATTATTTCAGTTATGTTATTTATTTAAAAATTATATTTAAATAAAATACATTTTCAAATACTAGAAAAGCATTACAATTTTAATGTATACTTTTACTCAAACCCCTTTTCTATTCGCTCGTCTCTTTGTATTATGAAATATAGTTCTGTCAAACAATATAACTCTACATGTAATAAAATAAAAATCTCTAAGAGCTTTTTCCAGAAACAATAACGTAATACACCAAAGACCC